TCCCCAGTAGGAGGCCTGCAGGAGGCAGCCGATCAATGATTCTCATCATTGATGTTTTAATCTCTCTCCCTCTACTTTCTTCTCTGAAAATCAATAAAAATATTTTTTTTAAAAAAAGAAAAGGCAGTTTGTTACTCACAGTTCCTAGGAGGAGGGGGCACACTAGGCTGCAGGGGGACCACAAGCAGAGAGGAGGAGGGAAACTTCAGGGAAGGTTTTTTTTTTTTTTTTTTTTTAAGTACTCCACATTTTTTTTTTTTTTTAATATATTTTATTGATTTTGTACTGGAATCAAACCCGGGACCTTTCAGTCCCCAAGCCGACGCTCTATCCATTGAGCCAAACCGGTTTCGGCAGCCAAACTGGTTTCGGCTTCAGGGAAGGTTTGATAGAAGGAGTGGGTGAGACAGGGTAATGGGGCTAAGGAGGTGATAATTGGCTAGCTGGAGTGATTTTAGCAGGTCACAGTGTGGGGTGCCCCAGTGGTCTGTGCCTGACCCAGGCAGCTGGGGCAGATGGACTGGGTGGATGGATGTGGGGCGCTGGTGTTTCGGGAGTGTAAGAGTAGAAAAGGCAGGGGGATGGGCTGGTTTGCTATAAAAGGTGTGCTGGGGGCAGGGAGGGTGTTCCCTGTCCCAGAGCTCCAGCCATCAGCTGGCCTGAGTCCACAGGCCCCAGAAGCCAGGACATCAGACACAGAAACCAGACAATGTGGTAACACAGACCCAGTCCTGGGACTTTGCGTCCCCTGCATCCTGTTGGCCAGAGCAGGTCACAAGGCCAGCCCAGATGGATAGGGGGGAGAACAGATTTTCCTCTGGGAAAAGCGGCCGTGCCTTTGCAGACGTGGGCAGTCTGTGGGGGTGGCAGGAGGCCTGTAGCGATTGCTGCAAACCTTCCGTCACGGGACCCAGAGATGCACCCCCAAGGCCCCCGTGCTTGGACGGAAGGGAGCAGCAGGGCAGGAGGCAAAGGGAGGCCTTGCGGGCGTGCTGGCTTTCCCCGCGCCTCCCGCTCCCCGCACCTTTAGGAAAGGCTCCAGCCCTGTCGGGGCGCCCTGACTGCAGGGAGAGCGGAGGCCTCTCTACCCCAGGGCAGCGCCTGGCCCCAGGGCCTCGGGCAGTGGGTGTGGGGGGTGTGGACCGAGAGCAGCAGCGGTTTCCTGGTCCGCCTGGGGTCTCTGAGTTAGGATCCAGGGCGCTCCCAGCCCCACTCACCCCGGAGGATCCTGTGGACACCAGACTGGTGTCCGTGGTGCTGATGTACAGTTTGGTGCGGACACTGAAAGCAAGTCAGCTCTGAAGGGGTTGGTGGGTTTTGCTTTACTTGCCTTGAGTAAACTTCTAACTGGGCACGAGAAAGTGCCATCCTTTCATCTGAACTGGAAGTAAAAGAATAAACTTGTTACAGGCACCCTCACTCACTTCCACTCTGCATGATACCAGCCACTGCCATGCATGAGCCAGCAGGTGTCGCCAGTGGCCAAGAAAAGATGAATTCCCTCTTTCCCTTGGATCTGATTTGACACTTTTCACTACCCCTCTCCTGTTCTCTTACATGAGAACATAAAGCAAAGATTGGAATTTTATCCTGAATAACAAGTTATTTTACATAAAAATAACAGAATTTATGAAACTAATTTACATCACCTTTCCAACTTGAGAAGTTATAGAACACTTTTGCTATTGAAATGAGTGCTTCTTTTTTTATTTTAATATGTTTTTATTGTTCATATTATTACAAACGTTCCTCCCCCCCCCCCCACCATTGCTCTCCTCCACCAGGTTCCCACCCCACCCTCTGCCCTTTCCCCACTCCCCATTGTCCTCATCCATAGGTGCACAGTTTATGTTCAGTCTCTTCCCACATCCCCCTCTCCCCTTTTCCCCAAGAATCGTCAGTTCACTCCCCTTCCATACCTCTGATTCTATTATATTCAACAGTTAATATTGTTCATCAGATTTTTTTAATTTCCTTGGTTTTTAGATTCACTTGTTGATAGTTACGTATTTGTTGTTCATAATTTTTATCTTTATTTACTTTCTCTTCTGAAAGAACCCCCTTCAGCAATTCATATAATTCTGGTTTGGTGTTGATGAACTCCTTTAGCTTTTTTTTTTATTAGTGAAGCTCTTTATTTGACCTTCGATTCTGAGTGATAGCTTTGCTGGATAGATTATCTTTGGCTGTAAGTTCTTACTATTCATCACCTTGAATATTTCTTGCCATTCCCGTCTGGCCTGCATGGTTTCTGTTGAGAAGTCAGCTGACAATTGTATAGGTGCTCCTTTATAGGTAACTACCTTCTTTGCTCTTGCTGCTTTTAATATTCTTTCTTTGTCTTTTGCTCTTGGAATTTTAATTATGATGTGTCTTGGTGTGGTCCTCTTTGGATTCCTTTTGTTTGGAGTTCTGTGAGCTTCCTGGACTTGTAAGTCTAATTCTTTCACCAGGTGGGGGAAGTTTTCTGTCACTATTTCTTTCAGTTTGTTTTTGATATCTTGCTCTCTCTCATCTTCTGGGACCACCATAATTCTGATGTTGGTTTGCTTGAAGTTGTCCCAGAGGTTTCTTACATTACCTTCAATTTTCTGGATTCTCTTGCCTTCTAGCTTCTGTGGAGGAGTGTCTTCTGGTTCTTTATGTTCCAAATCTTTGATTTGATTCTTGCGATTTTCCATTCTGTTTTTAGGACACTGTATAATATTTTTTATTTCAGACAATGTATTCTTTATTTCTTGTTGATCTCTTATCATTTCTTGTTGACTCCTTATTAATTCTAGTTGATCTCTTTTCATATTCTCATAGGTCTTATCCATCTTTTCTAGGAAATTCTTGAAAAACCTTATAAGCGTAGATTTGAACTCTATATCCAGTTGCTTTTTGTCCTCCATTTCTTTCGTTTGTGATCTATTTCGTTGTCGCATTTCGCAGTTACAGATGGGATGGGATTTCACGGTGGAGCCTACAGCCTTGGCTTCTGTCAGCCCCGTCCTATGCGACTCCTGAGACTCAGGGTCCTTCAGTACTCGCTGCAAAGCACCTCTGAGAGATAGGTGCCCTCGATTTTCGCCTGCTGCCAAACAGTCTATGCTCTCCCCCAATGAGCCCAGTATTGGGGTTCAGTTCAGTTGGAAGTGGAGTTGGAGGTGGCGTTCAGAGCAGACTGGAGTCCCAGTCTCCTTCCGGCCAGGGCAATCCCGAGGCACAGCCGACCGTCCCTTCTCTGTGCGCAATGTGCGCACTGCCGGGACTTCCTTTCGCTGCTTCCCTGGGTTCCGCCTTACAGCCCAGCTCCCTATGGATGAGCCTGAGTCCCCTGGGGCTGGCCTAGAACTGGGGTTCAGAGCAGTCAGAACTGGGGCCCAACACAGTCGGAGTTTTATCTCCTTCCCACTAGGGAACGCCAGCCAGGCACTCGGCCTCCCTCCTCTCCGGCTCCATCCTCTCCGCGCGCCGCGTGTCTCCATACCTTGGGCTTTTATAGCTCCTCCGCGCTTCCTTCTGCTTTTCTCCTTGCTTCTCGTTGTAGAATTTCCAGTCAGTTGACTTTCCTGTAGTTCTGGGTAATGTCCATTTTATATTTTAGTTGTATTTTATTGAAATTGTTGTGTGCGCTGCGGCTAGGTGTTTACCTGGGCGCAGTCGTCTTGGATCCCGAGTACTTCTTTATTAAACCTAAGCCTTGTCCCAAATAAAAAGCATGCTGGCTGAGTAAGCTCCTTTTGGAACAACTGTAAATTCTGGGCAATGTACAAAAAGCAATTGTCTGAAGGAACTGAAAGCATTGGAAAGCAGGCAGATACTAGAGAGGAGTCTGAAGTCGTTAGTCTGTTGGAGGGCTTTCTCTTTATTTCCTCTCTTTTTTGCTCTTCTGTTTCTTTCTCTGGCCTTGGTGTGTTACTGGAACATACTCTCGCAGACCCTCTGAATCATCTGCAGTGCTGTGGATCTGTGTCCAGCGTTTTACTGGTTGCTTAGGGTGTTCCCTGTACACACATAATTCACCAGAAAGTTTTAAATTTCAAATCATTGGTTCAGATGAGTCCAGTCCATCTGCTTTCTGTTTCCCTAAAGAGACCTTTACTATGATGCAAGGGCATAAATCATTTACAGGTGAATGGAGCTGAAACTTCCCCCCCGTTTTATTTTTATTTTTTTAAAATTACTTTATTAATTAAGGTATCACATATTTGTCCTCAACCCCTCATTCCAATCCCCCACCACTCCCCTCTCATGCCCCCACCCTCCTATTGTCCTTGACCACTGGTTAGGCTCAAATGCACATAAGTCCTTTGGTTGATCTCTCTCTTTTATCCCCACCCACCCTTTGAGGTCCAACAGTCTCACCCATGGCTCCTTATCTCTGGGTCTGTTCTTGTTCATCAGTCTATGTTGTTCACCATTTTTCCCTAGATGAGTGAGATCATATCCTACTGGAAATATATTTATAAGAATAAAAAATGAGCCGAAACCAGTTTGGCTCAGTGGTAGAGCATTGGTCTGCGGACTGAAAGGTCCCAGGTTCGATTCCAGTCAAGGGCATGTACCTGGGTTGCGGGCATATCCTCCGTAGGGGGTGTGCAAGAGGCAGCTGGTTGATGTTTCTCTCTCATCAACGTTTCTAGCTCTCTATCTCTCTCTCTTCCTCTCTGTAAAAAATCAATAAAATATATTAAAAAAAGAATAAAAAAATGAGACAAGCAATAATCATTATGCTGAAAGGCATATGAATCAGTCTGTAGTGAGTTTCTTTCTGGACAAACAGTTCTTTTGAGACCCAATTTCAATGTCAAACAGTTCCTTATGTGTATATGTCAGCAATGATATTTCAGTTCTGGATGGTGAACAAATGGTGGCAATGCAGGTCCAACCCTCTCCAGTTTGGTCCTGGACAACCTGCAGTGACATATAGCTGCTGACTGCTATTATGGCAAGGAGTTGTCAGAGTCTTCTATCTCTGGACTGCTTCTCTTCTGTCTTCATGGTTGGAGTAGTCCTGTCACTTCCCCTCTGTTGTCAGAATCCACATGGTCTCAAAGTTGTTTTCTGAAAATATACAAATATATTCTCGGCCAAAAGTTAATAAAGGAATATTTTCTATAAAATTGACTTGGGATCCTTTTTCATTTTGCCCAAATGATTTTCCTCTGGCTTGTTTTGACACCATATGCATTTTTCATGGGGTCCAGTTTTAGTTTTTATTGGTGACTTTAGTTTTCTTAGTATTTCAGGTTATTGGCATTATCAGGTCCAATTCTTTGTCTCCAGATCTTGGAATATTATTTGAGATTGAAATGTCTTTTATTCACAAAGTATGACAGTTGAAGATAAAGCTTTCTCAATTAAAAAATGGGCAGAAGACCTGAACAGAAACTTCTCCAAAGAGGACATAACTTCAGAGAGCATAGGATGTTTCTTATTGCTAAGTGTCTAATGGGGAAACTGAGGCATAAATACCAATGCTCTCAAACTTTGCACCACTGAAATACACATATTAACACCACACAAGTTCTATGGAACAGGCATCTGGACATGGTTTGGTTGGGTACATCTGCCTCAAGGTATCTGTGAAGCAGGAATATATTTCAAATGAGTCTTGATTGGGGACAAATTTCCTTACAAAATCACTCACATGGTTTTCGTCAGCATGCAGTGTGGACTGAGAACCCCAGTTCATGCATAATGAAATGGTACTCCCTCAGATTTCTCCTATGGGCATTCTAAATAGGACAGCTCAAGACATGGGTGCCTACCATCTTAATTCCAGATATATGACAGACAGAAAAGACAAAACGTACAAAGAGAAAGTGAAAGAAAGGCTGAGAGGAAGGAAAGGACCTCAAGAATGAGAGAGAGTATAAGAGAAGTGATAGGATCTGACATACCATCCCCTGGGATCGACGCTATGTTGTTCAGAAGCCAGTTACTGTGCTCTTAGCGGACACACAAGGATGTCCCCACCAGGAGGCTGGACTCTATGAAGTCCAGCCACTGTGAAGGCCCCTAACCCCTGGGCCCACATAAGACACTGGCTCTGATGCTAAGTGTAAAAAGACACCACTGCGAGGTTTTAGGCCATGGGTGACAGGCACTGAATTTCCTGTCATTTCAAACCTTACAGGTGCAGATGTGAAAATGAGGCCCACATGAGTAGTGACTTCCCTGAGATCTCAGGCTGCACCTCAGGCCTGTTTTGTCCAGTGTCCCATGCTGTGTGCTACTCATTCTTGTCACACTTATACACGTCTATGTTTGTTCATCAGATTTTGGGGACGCCAGCCCACAGGTGTTAGGGGCCTTGTCTCATCTACACCTGATGACTTCCTATGGAAATGGTGTCTAGCATCATCCCCATTGGGCAGCTCTGCAGACTGGGGGATGCCCTGAGTGGCACAGAGGCTTCCTCAGGGCACAGAACAAGTAAGGAAAAGGAGGTATGAACGCAGCTTTCTCTCCCAAGCCGGGGTCCCTTACACATTCCCAGAGAGCTGGGGATTGGGCTGTGTTGGATACTGGGTACTGATTAGTTTCCAGGTATGGCGATAACATGGGCCCGGAGGGTGAGGGGTCAAGAGCCCATGGGGCCATTGGGTGGCTCTGATTGGAGGAAGGGGCACAGGTCGTGGAACCTTGAAGGGGTGACCTCACTTCCTTGCTGAGAGAAACTGGAACCATGGTAACCAGGTACCCACATTCTGAAAGCAACTGCCTTTGCAGCTCACTTGAGTGGAGAGGGTCAGAAGACAAGATGTCTCTGTGTTGCTTCCCATTCTTCCGAGGCTCAGGGCAGAAGAAAGCCCAGGCTGAGAGATGTTTCTCTTGGTGTAGAAACAGGCGCAAGCGCCACCACAGATACCCCAGGCCCTCTGGCAGGAGGCACCCACAGGTAACTGAGGGCAGCCGGGGCCAGATCCATCCAGGCCAGGCACCAGCTGGAGTCACACCTAGGAAGCCCCATACCTCTTACCCCTCATCCCTGGTGTGTGTGTTTGTGTGTGTGTGTGTGTGTGTGTGTGTGTGTGTGTCGGGGATGGTGAGGGACAGCATGCATGAGGGACTCACATCCTGTGCAGGAGCAGGTGGGTTGGTGTCAGAAGCCTGGAGGGTGTGTCATGTGAATGCTGTGTTTGGAGATCTGCTACCTGCTTGTTAAGATGGTGTATGAGGTTGGTGGAGGGGAGGTGTGTATATTCAAGGGGTCTTCAACTTCACTCCCTGCCTGGAGAACTTTGCAGATGCCCCTCTCTGCCTGATCTGGGGAGCAGAGTGGGTGGCGGGCTTCTGTCCAACTGGCACTGGTCCGGTGCCTCCCGTTCTGGTAGTGGGCTCTGTCTTTGCAGAGCTCCAGTGAGGACGGCATAGAGGAGCTGGCAGACGGGTTCACCTATGCCATCAACGGGTACAAAGGACAAGTGCGTCAGGCCGGGAAAACAGTCCAGGGCCAAACGGAGGTGAGGGCTGGCCCACACCCAGGATCCTGTGGTGGCTGGGGTGGTACCAGAAGTCTGACTCAAACTAGGGGCCTCCAAGATGTCACAGACCCACTCCCAAAGAAACCTGTACCTTCAATCCACCCGACCAGGTCCCTGGGAGGGTAGAAAAGCAATCTTTCTTCATGTTTTGCTGGGATCCTAGAGGAGGCATTTGTTGCTGTCTTTTCCTTATGCTCCTTTCAATTCATTATCAACTCCCTTCCCCCAAGTAACCTGTGGACTGGTCCCGGCTCCACTGTCCTTGTCGACCTTTCCCAGGCCTTAAACATCCTCCCACTTGATAGTGCTGTGTATTTTAAAAATAGAGGGTTGTGGGTAAAGGAGGGATTGAGGTCTTGAATACTTTTCTCCGCAACCTATCACCTCACAGAGGACGACAAACCATTGCAGTGAGGCCAGGTCAGGAGCTGTGGCCTTACCCAACTCCATATCATCCCAACAGGGGCACAGTTTTCATCAGTGATTCAGGCTTTCCCTGTTGCTAGACCTTGACACAAATCAACGGCTGCTAGCTCAGCAGGGCTGCCAGGAACATCCTCCCTGTGTCCTGATAGACGAGGTCTGCCATGACACAGGACCGCAGACTGGGAGGGAGGTTCCTGAGGCCTCCTGTCGCAGTACCCACTCTGTCTTTGCAGAGCTCCCAGGAGGACATCATTGAGGTGCTGGCCCAAGGACCCGACTACACCGCCTACGCGGTCAGGGTGCAGGTGCACCAGGCTGACGACACAGTCCAGTGCCTGTCAGAGGTGAGAGCCGGCCTCGAGGGTCTCCACACCCACAACCCCAAGAGGACCTGGCAGTGCCCAGACACACACTCAAATCTGCGGACTCCCCCTCAGGGACCGTCCTAGGACTCTCCCTAGACTCTCCCACAGCCCCATGACAAAGAAACCCGCACCCCCACTCCTCCCACCAGCTACATGGGAGGGTAGAAAGACACTCCTCACATATTTGTAGAAATATGAGAGAGAAAGAGAGATGTGCTTTGCCTTCACAGTAGACTCCATCAACTCGTGGGCATTTCGCTGATGTTGTTGTTTAAACTACCCCTGCCACTCAGTCCACAGTCCTTGCAGAACTTGGCCAATAGCAGATGTCCTTCCCACAGAGATGCAGCCCTTCAGTGCTGTTGGACATGGGCCTGATTCAGTTTGGCTGCCATATCAGCACTGCTGCCCAGAGCACTGAAGTGTGTTGGAATGGGCTGTGTTAGGCTGATCGGGCTGCCTTAACATAGGACCACTCTGGGTGGTGTCAGAAGCAGACATTCATTTTCTCACTATTCCGGAAGCTCGGAGTGAGACAGGAGGCTGTCAGCAGGGCTGGTTTCTCCTGAGGGGGTCTCGCCTCAGCTTGCAGATGGCCGTCTTCTCCCTGTGTGTCACATGGACCCCCCTCTGCACTGCCATGTGTCCTCCCCTCCTCTTCCTAGGACACAGGTCACACGAGATTAAGACCCACAGCACTGAGTTCACTTCACCTTAACTGCATGCTTGAAGACGAACACTCAAATGCGGCCACATAGTGAAGTTCTAGGGGCTGCAAATTCATGGGATTAGGGGACCCAGTTCAGACCACAGTACATGTAGTATCCGCAGCTGGAGATGGACACCCACTGCTGGAAGAAGGACGTGCACATGGAAACTTTTCATGGCTGCAGGTGGCTTCCAAATCCAAAGGGCGGAAGCAGGGACGTAGACAAAAGCAGTTTCTGATGATTGCCCCTGCCTTGCTCCCAGCCTGGCCCGGGGATTTCTCACTCATTGAAATTTTCACCTGTCCTGTCCGATGCCAGGTTGTCCAACTCTATCACAGTGTTCCTTCATTGGCAATTGCCTCATGGCTACTTTGAGTCACCTGTTCCCCTGTCAGCCACCACATAGATTTTCTCCTTCCCGAGTCCTCTGCTCAGATTACTGCCTGGTGATCACCTTGCTCCAGTCTGCAGTCTTCAAGCATTTGCCACCTTGCAGAATCTGGGATCTCCACAATGAGGTTCTCAAAAATGCCCTTTAGTGTAAAAGGATGAAACATGACTTTCTCCTTTGAAGTCAATGGTTTTCATAGGCCACGTCTACCGTGTACACGGTTCCCACGCTGGGGAGCGACAAGGCTCCCACACACTTTCCACCCAAGTCAGGAACAGATAATCAATCGTCCATTACCTGAGAGGGAATGTCATGTAGGACAGGTCCCAGTTCTGATCTGCATGCCCTTCACCAGACTTTTGATATCCTTAAGCCTCTGTGTTCTCAGCTCTATAAGGGGAGGTTTCTAGAGGACTCGTAGGGCCCATGCTCTTCATATAGACTATACCTACAGGAAGGTTTGCTGTTCTTTAGCTAAGAAAGAACATGTGGGTGGAGGAGGGGGAAGATGCCTAGAAGGTGACATTTGTATGAACATGCACAGAACTTAAGTGGCACTTTGAAGACCTAGAACGTCCCTCAGCCTGGGTGCTCCTGCCCCTCCTCTTGCACACGTCCCTGTGTGGCTGGGACCTCCCGAATGAGCTCCAGTCCTCAATCCTGTGGGATTCTCGGTCACGCCGCTGACTCGATGTCCTCACTTGTCCCTCCCAGGGCGCAGCTGAGGTAACTGGTAACCTACCTGAGTCCTGCTGGATGCAGGACCTCCGTGAAGGCACCTTAGAGCAAGTGGCCACATCCATGGTACCAGCTCTCCTGGGGGGAAACGTCCCCCGGGTCTCCACTCTGGCCTTCTGCAGAGCCCAACAGTTCCTGGAGGAGCTGTTAGCTAGGTGAGCTCACACTCGTGACTCTGCCCTCTGCAAGCTGTGCGTCTTGAAAATGTCACCACATCTTTCTGAGTCTAAGTGTGCTCCTCTGAAAGGTGGGGTGGTGAGGGATAAGCCTCATAGCACTGCTGTGGAGAAAAGCCAAGGAAGGTCCTACCTGCTCCCTGGCTCTTCAGACAGGGTTGCCGGATGTGTGCCGGTGGTTTGTGGCAATGATTTCACTGTGTCCCTTGGAAAGAACTCTGACTCACCCAGCGGCGGCCTGTGGCATCACAGTTGGGAAAAACATAGGGAAAGCAGCCTGTCAGTCAGTTGGAGATTTCACCTAGCTGGTCCTCAGCCTTAGTGTAGCCACATGGGGGGTCTCGGGCGGGTAGCAGGGGCCCCAAGCCCACTCAGGTGGATGGGATGGTGCTGGTTGGAGTTTATTTACTCAACAATGTGTATGAAGCTCCTACTGCAGGCAAGCAGGTTTGGAGACGCTTAGGCCGACTCAAGGAATGAAGCAGACACAACCCCTGGGCCTCAGTTCTAGGCAGTGGGTCCCGCAGTCACGCTGTCCATCATTCACAGGTCCTGTCCACCGTCCATCAGAGCTGATGCCGTCAAGGTGCTTTCGACATCTGCAGGCACACCTCCTCATAAGGACCAGAGTGACACACCGCAGGACCAAGTCATAAAGTGAGTGGTCTCTGCGTCCAGAAGGAGGCCCCCCTGTGTCAGCAGAGTGGGGACTGTGAGTTGGGGGAACTGCCTGGCAGAACCCTGATCTTATACACCTTCTGATTCCCATGAAAGGCCTGAACTCTGCCGGCTTCTATTCCAGAAGGACATGAGTCAAAGAGGACAGAGGATGGGGTCCCTGTTCTTGTAGTCCCAGAGAGGACGCTGGGCTGAGTTGTGCCTCAGAGTCTCCTTCCCCCCAAGACCCATAGTCCTCTGTCTGCCCCTCTCTCCATCCACCTCCACTGACCACCGTGGACGGCTCAGAACAGGATGGTGGTGAGCAGGCAGCTCAGGAGTCTGTCTCAGTCCTCAGCCCAGATGCCCATGGGCATGGAGGGCTGGGGTGGGCAGTGTACAGGACATTCAGGAGAGCTGCCAGTGGGGAGAAGAGTCTCACACAGACTCCACGTTAAACCTGCTGGATCCCACACCTGCTACAAACAGAACAGCCACATAGGGGCTGGGTTTGGCGTGGGGCTGTGCCCTGGATATGAGGGGGACTGCATAGAGGCTCAGTCCCAAACAAGAGTGCCATGGGAGGGTAGAGTAGAAGGAAACACCAGAACTCTGACTTGACTGCCCACCTGCCTCTCCCCAGGGTCATTGCTTCGATGGTCGGGACCTGGCTGGACCACGTCCAGGGTTTTGGGCAGCCCCTTCCACTTGCCTTGTTGGAGGTAGAGCAGGCCTTGGTGCCCATCAAGTCCCCTGCATCACAACTGTTGGGCCAAACCCAAAATCTAGAGCTGGAGCATACTGAGCCCACCGAGGCAACACAGGAAGGTGAGGGGGACTGATAACCTGGGCACATAACCTGGGGAGGGCAGGCGTATGGGCTGGATTTCCCTTAAAGGCGCTGGCATCTTTCAGTGGAAAGTAACGGGAAAGCCAGGTGTGTGAGAAAATATCTCTGTCTCTCTCTGTCTCTCTCTCTGTCTCTCTCTCTCTGTCTCTCCCTATCTCTCTCTCCCTCTCTCTCTCCCTACCTCTCTCTCCCCCTCTCTCTCTTACTCCAGGTCTAAACCCAGAGCTCCGGAGCTCTCCAGAGCCAGAGGAAGGGGCTGCTCAGGAGCCAGAGCCTGGTCCGGCCATTCGCACTACCATGGCGCGGCCTGGCCTGAGGCAGTACATGAGGCCATTAAGGAGACAGGTGCTGACTCTGCTGGAAGCCTTCTCTGCTGCTGTCATGACAGTTCTAGGCGATTATCTTTAATAACTAAGAGGAATAAACCCCAACTCTATATTTATAATAGTAAATAATGATAATGTCCAATAGTACCTAGCTATTTATGTAGACTTTAATCCATTATATTAAGTACTTTCTTGAATAAATAGAAATAAAGTTGTGAATTGAAAACATGTGTTGACCTGATATATTCATGTACATATACATAATATATATATAACATATATATAGATTAACACACACACACACACAAACACACAAATGTACACACACACACACATACACATATATGTTGAAATGGAAGGATGCTCCCTGCATATTACAGTTTTAAAATAATGTTTGAAACATTTCATTTTTTCTGGTAAGTATAAATTGATGAAATGGAGAAATGAAATCTGGAAATGTATGCATCAAAATGTGAACACTAGTGAACTGGAGGAATTGAAACTATACTAGAAGTAACAGTATCTTCTCCTTTTCTTACTTATATAGTTTCTGGTTTTACACTAGGATCATATATCCAATATATAAATATAGAGTGGAGAGAGGAAAGGAGAGGCAGAGAAACATCGATGAAAAGTGGGTCAGCTGCCTCCCGCCCACCCCTGAAAGGAACTGACCGCAAAACCCTGCCAAGCGCCCCCGTTCTGGGAACTGATCCGGAAACCTTTCAGTGCAAGGGGAGATGCCCACCCAAATGAGCCCCACCAGCCGGGGCTAGGCTAAATAGATATTTTAAAACTATACTTAGATTGATTTCAGGGAGAGCGAAGGAGAGATCAAAAAAATGCTGAGAGAGAATCATTCCTCGGCTGCCTCCTTCACGACACCCAATGATGATCCAGTCTGCAACCCAGGCATGTGCCCAGACCTGGAATCAAACCAACCGTGAACGCCTGCCTGGTTCACAGGGGGATCCTCAACCACTGTGCAACACTGGCCAGACTCAATCATATCTTTCCAAACTTTCCCGTGTGCCAATTTATATCTTCAAATGCTCTCATGAGGAGCAAAAATTACTTACTCGGCTGCTTTCCACTTCACTCGGTGTGTAGCTTAAGTTGCCATTTGGGCAGCAACAACCACTAGGATAACTGTTAACAATATCGAAAACCACTGGGGATGGAAAGAGCATTGCTTTGGTTGCAACAGGAATAATTCAAAATAACTCTCTCCACTCAACAGTTCGTTAAACATTTTCCTTCCCCAATGAGCCCCGAATTTTACTCACCAGTCAAACTCCTCTTAGCAAGAGGCAATGGTTCCACCAGCTCAGGACGGTACGGAAACAGGGTACACAGCCCTGGTTCTACCAGAAGGGCCATGCTTCACTGTCACCACTGGAACAACCTATAATTAAAATTAAAACCATTAGGTCAAAAACTTCTAAGCAGAAAAGGAAAAAGGAGTAGTAGGTGAGTATTTCCAAAGGAGGCATGCTGTGCAAGAGGGATCCACACAGTGCCATTGCCCAATCATCCAAAGCTCATCGTTCTCACGTGAACACTCTTGCTCTGACGGTAGACACATTTCCTTTCTTTCAGTTTCTACTTGCTTTCCACGGAAACCGGCTGGTCTACACACAAAGCTAACACTGCTCAAGAGAAACCTAAGTGTCTAAGTGAATTTTAACCTTTACTTCATTTGAATTAATGAAAGTTTAAACTTAGAACGTTATATGGGTGGCCATGCTGCTGTGGCTCAATGCTTGAGCGTCAAACCCTGAACCAGGAAGTCCCAGTTTCATTCCCAGTCAGGGCACATCCCTGGGTTGCTGTCTAGGGGCTATGTGATCAATGAGGCTCTCTCATCATTGGTGTTACTCTCTCCCCCCACCCTCCTTTCTCTCCCTTCTGTTTCCCTTCCTCCCTCTGACATCAATAAACACGTAGATTTTCTTTTTTGATAAAGGTACATGTGTATAATATGGGCCCCATTAGATAGATTACTTCAAGACAAGGAAACAGATTTGAAAACAGTCATCCCTGAATCTCGGGACACCTTGCCTCCACATGTGCACAAAGAAGAAATGTATGGGGCCATTAGTGTTCACAGCAGAAACAGGAAGCTCACTATCACACACTTCCCAACTGCCCTGTCCCTCTCCTCTTCCTGCTCCTCCTCTTCCTCCTTGTCCTGCTAATCCTCCTCCTCCTCCTGGGCTGAGGCACCTCGTTTAGGAGCACTTTCCTACTAAAGGAACCCATGTCCCTTGCAGTCTGGCCTGTTCTGGCCAAGGGTTCACACAAGGGTCTCATAATTGATTTCAGAGACACTATTTTCCTCCCTGATAAAAAGCACAACAGCAAAGACAGAACTTTTTGTCTCCCTTGGATCCTGGGAGCTGTTGCTGCAGCCACTTTGTTGCTGGCAGCTTACCCTGCTATCACTGAGCAGCTGCATTCAACATTGGATCCACCTACCCATGGATTGGTTATTTTGTGAGAAAAACACATCCCTACTGTTACTTTCATCAGTATTCTGTTGCTCATAATTCTCAGCTTCCACACTGAATGAGATCCTGAAAACTCCCCAGGATGGAGAAGGCTGTAGCATTTCATGGTAAAGCAAATAAATAAATAAATAAATAAATAAATAAATAAATGAATAAATAAATAAAAAACCTCAAAAACAAACTAACACACACACACACGCAAAGCAAAACAAAACAAAGGAAAAAAAGAAACAGTATGGAAGCAGAGAGGAGGACAGAGGAAAGACCACATATGCCTGAAAGAACACCAGTCTTCCAACGACTCCAGAGGGAAACGTTGGCACATGGAGCATGACAATGACACAGCTGGGCTGGGTGAGTGTGAGGCCAATGAGGATCTCAAAAGTGTGACTAGAGAAAAGGGGTGAGGGGGAGACAAGAGTGGATAGAAGATAAGGTCACATCATGGAGGGCCTGGACAGACACACTAAGGATTTTGGACTTAATTCTAAAGGCCATAGGAAGCCATGGTATGTTTCCATAAGGGTCATGATCACATTTACATTTTCAAAAGATCCTTTGGGCTGCCAAAAGAGAAAGGTTAGGGACCCAGCGATACTAGAGGTTGACAAGTCAGAGAGAACACACGGTATCAAGAGGCACTGAGCCCAATGGGGTTAGTACTCTTGGTGCTAAACTTGATGGTTTCACACTAGAATGGTTGTATCAGGAATGTCAAGGTAGAAAGCTATCATGCTCATGGGACTTGACAGGTTATGTCTAGAAGTTATAATGAAGAAGTAAAAGAAGCCGTATCTCTTCTCAGACCAAGGGACTCTTAGAACAAAGGAGAGAACTTACCAAAACCAAGATTTACTAAAGTGGGGGGGAAAAGTGTGTAGACTCTTTGTTCCGGGGCACAGACAGACACACATACAGAGAGAAAGTGAGAGAGAGGCTGAGAGAAGGAAAGGACCTCAAGAATGAGAGAGACTATTAGAGAAGTGTCAGGACCTGACATACCATCCCCTGGGATCGACGCTTTGTTGTTCAGAAGCCAGTTACTGTGCTCTTAGCGGACACACAAGGATGTCCCCACCAGGAGGCTGGACTCAATGAAGTCCAGCCACTGTGAAGGCCCCTAACCCCTGGGCCCACATAAGACACTGGCTCTGATGCTAAGTGTAAAAAGACACCACTGCGAGGTTTTAGGCCCTGGGTGACAAGCTCTGAATTTCCTGTCATTTCAAACCTTAAAGGTGCAGACGTGAAAATGAGGCCCACATGAGCAGTGACTTCCCTGAGATCTCAGGCTGCACCTCAGGCCTGTTTTGTCCAGTGTCCCATGCTGTGTGCTACTCATTCTTGTCACACTTATACACGTCTATGTTTGTTCATCAGATTTTGGGGACGCCAGCCCACAGGTGTTAGGGGCCTTGTCTCATCTACACCTGATGACTTCCTATGGAAATGGTGTCTAGCATCATCCCCATTGGGCAGCTCTGCAGACTGGGGGATGCCCTGAGAGGCACAGAGGCTTCCTCAGGGCACAGAACAAGTAAGGAAAAGGAGGTATGAACGCAGCTTTCTCTCCCAAGCCGGGGTCCCTCACACATTCCCAGAGAGCTGGGGAGAGGGCTGTGTTGGATACTGGGTACTGATTAGTTTCCAGGTATGGCGATAACATGGGCCTGGAGGGTGAGGGGTCAAGAGCCCATGGGGCCATTGGGTGGCTCTGATTGGAGGAAGGGGCACAGGTCGTGGAACCTTGAAGGGGTGACCTCACTTCCTTGCTGAGAGAAACTGGAACCATGGTAACCAGGTACCCACATTCTGAAAGCAACTGCCTTTGCAGCTCACTTGAGTGGAGAGGGTCAGAAGACAAGATGTCTCTGTGTTGCTTCCCATTCTTCCGAGGCTCAGGGCAGAAGAAAGCCCAGGCTGAGAGATGTTTCTCTTGGTGTAGAAACAGGCGCAAGCGCCACCACAGATACCCCAGGCCCTCTGGCAGGAGGCACCCACAGGTAACTGAGGGCAGCCGGGGCCACATCCATCCAGGCCAGGCACCAGCTGGAGTCACACCTAGGAAGCCCCATACCTCTTACCCCTCATCCCTGGTATGTGTGTTTGTGTGTGTGTGTGTGTGGTGTGTGTGTGTGTGTCGGGGATGGTGAGGGACAGCATGCATGAGGGACTCACATCCTGTGCAGGAGCAGGTGGGTTGGTGTCAGAAGCCTGGAGGGTGTGTCATGTGAATGCTGTGTTTGGAGATCTGCTACCTGCTTGTTAAGATGGTGTATGAGGTTGGTGGAGGGGAGGTGTGTATATTCAAGGGGTCTTCAACTTCACTCCCTGCCTGGAGAACTTTGCAGATGCCCCTCTCTGCCTGATCTGGGGAGCAGAGCGGGTGGCGGGCTTCTGTCCAGCTGGCACTGGTCCGGTGCCTCCTGTTCTGGTAGTGGGCTCTGTCTTTGCAGAGCTCCAATGAGGACGGCATAGAGGAGCTGGCAGACGGGTTCACCTATGCCATCAACGGGTACAAAGGACAAGTGCGTCAGGCCGGGAAAACAGTCCAGGGCCAAACGGAGGTGAGGGCTGGCCCACACCCAGGATCCTGTGGTGGCTGGGGTGGTACCAGAAGTCTGACTCAAACTAGGGGCCTCCAAGATGTCACAGACCCACTCCCAAAGAAACCTGTACCTTCAATCCACCCGACCAGGTCCCTGGGAGGGTAGAAAAGCAATCTTTCTTCATGTTTTGCTGGGATCCTAGAGGAGGTATTTGTTGCTGTCTTTTCCTTATGCTCCTTTCAATTCATTATCAACTCCCTTCCCCCAAGTAACCTGTGGACTGGTCCCGGCTCCACTGTCCTTGTCGACCTTTCCCAGGCCTTAAACATCCTCCCACTTGATAGTGCTGTGTATTTTAAAAATAGAGGGTTGTGGGTAAAGGAGGGATTGAGGTCTTGAATACTTTTCTCCGCAACCTATCACCTCACAGAGGACGACAAACCATTGCAGTGAGGCCAGGTCAGGAGCTGTGGCCTTACCCAACTCCATATCATCCCAACAGGGGCACAGTTTTCATCAGTGATTCAGGCTTTCCCTGTTGCTAGACCTTGACACAAATCAACGGCTGCTAGCTCAGCAGGGCTGCCAGGAACATCCTCCCTGTGTCCTGATAGACGAGGTCTGCCATGACACAGGACCGCAGACTGGGTGGGAGGTTCCTGAGGCCTCCTGTCGCAGTACCCACTCTGTCTTTGCAGAGCTCCCAGGAGGACATCATTGAGGTGCTGGCCCAAGGACCCGACTACACCGCCTACGCGGTCAGGGTGCAGGTGCACCAGGCTGACGACACAGTCCAGTGCCTGTCAGAGGTGAGAGCCGGCCTCGAGGGTCTCCACACCCACAACCCCAAGAGGACCTGGCAGTGCCCAGACACACACTCAAATCTGCGGACTCCCCCTCAGGGACCGTCCTAGGACTCTCCCTAGACTCTCCCACAGCCCCATGACAAAGAAACCCGCACCCCCACTCCTCCCACCAGCTACATGGGAGGGTAGAAAGACACTCCTCACATATCTGTAGAAATATGAGAGAGAAAGAGAGATGTGGTTTGCCTTCACAGTAGACTCCATCAACTCATGGGCATTTCGCTGATGTTGTTGTTTAAACTACCCCTGCCACTCAGTCCACAGTCCTTGCAGAACTTGGCCAATAGCAGATGTCCTTCCCACAGAGATGCAGCCCTTCAGTGCTGTTGGACATGGGCCTGATTCAGTTTGGCTGCCATATGAGCACTGCTGCCCAGGGCACTGAAGTGTGTTGGAATGGGCTGTGTTAGGCTGATCGGGCTGCCTTAACATAGGACCACTCTGGGTGGTGTCAGAAGCAGACATTCATTTTCTCACTAT